AAAAAAAAAACGTGCAAAACACCATAAAGAAATACTGACTCCGATAGATATGAAACTGACCGCTCTTCGCTGTGTTCTTTCCAGAGTCCCTTCATTTCTGCGCAAATAAGACCACTTTCATCTTCCTGAAAGTGCTCTATGCACCGGAAATTTCTTCCATGATATATTGATATACGAACCGATTCAGCGTCTCCGTTGATTGCCAACTCGTTCTCCATTTCCTCCTTTTTGCAAGTCGCATCTGCAGTGGAACCTTCCCTTTGTTTACTATCGCCCGGTCGACATAAAGAGTAATTTCCCGTTAGTAGCAGCATATCCTTATATTTCTCATTGAAATTATTAGATCGATTATTTTGCTGTCGAAGATCATTGAGCCATCGAGTAGCCAACTAGAAGAAGACTGACATTATGCTGTCTCAGCTGATTTCAGCTTACCATTTTCTTTAATCGAAAGATGCCTGTTCGCGGATTTTCATAAATTATTCTTTGTTCTGGCGTTAAAGAGTCAGGAATGGAGGTGGATGCATGGCATGTGGGAGATGTATCATCTGAACCTTCAGCAACAGGAGAAGCATCATCTACAGTAGACTCATCTGCCTTAAAGTGACGATTTGTGAGCAAAAAACTTGCGAACGATATAAACAAACTACCTCCTCTCCAGTCACTGTCAAAGACGAATTGGCACGCCCTTTCTTCTTCTTTGTCCAAGCATCACTATCATCAAGCACGCGACCTGTTTGACGCACCTAAATGCAAGGATTCGTGCATTTGAAAGACAGAACATGAAGGTAATATCCTGTGACCTTTACTTTGAAAAATCTGATTTCACAGAAGAGCCAACAAGATATCAGACAACTCGCCTTTATCTACCAATGTTTTCGTAAATCCCATATTATAGGCAGCGTCCCCTCAAACTAGTGACTTATGGAATTTGACAACGTTGTGATGGCGGACCCCCAAATAATCTATCAGTGAAGTTTGGGGCGAAAAAGCGCTTTTAG